GGGGCCCAGATCCCACAAAAACCCAAACTGTGTCCTTGGGCATGAATCAGCCTTGCGTCTACCTCACTCTGCTTTCAGGGTGAGTTCGGACCCCAACCCGGCCTTCCCGTGGGCCCCCTTGTTGCTGTGCCTGCCTGAAGTTCACTTGTTTTCAGTTTTTGTTGCACTAGTTGGAATTATATAATCAGATGTCAGTTCGGTGGTCTGGAAACTCAGTTCGAGTTAAGAGTTTCGGTAGTCACTTCCTGTTTAGTGGTCTTTCAGGGGCAGGGGGAGATCAACGACTAATGAGAGGCCTCCACATGTACGGGTAGCACCTCATGGGAGGCGCAGGTGGGCAAGAGAAGGGTACTTGTGACACCGAGTCCCTGAGCAGTGACAGGATCAGGCAGATCCCTGCAGACGCCCTCGGCACTTGCCCGGGCCCGGGCGGAGCTGACCTGAGCAAAGTGGGAACTCGAGCATGTAGCACAGGCCCCTAGATTCCCAGGGGATAACTTCCACCTGGTCACCTTCGAAAGAGCCATTGTCGATGGCTCTGAATTAAAAGTACCAACTCGAGGTTGAAGAGAAGCGACTTTGGCCACGGTGCAGAGACAGGGTATTCGCAGGACAACCTGCTGCCGCCACATTTCCGGAACTATTCTGGACGGCGCTCTCTGCTGTCGGGGCCCGGAATGGTGGGACGTGAGGAGGCCAAGGCTCACCGGATGGCGAGACGGGCGGGCGAGGACAGCCTGGGTGCGCGGCGCTCCAGGCCCACAGACGTGTGTGGTCGGCCTGGAGCTCCCGGCCGGGCCAGCTCTCCCTCAGGGAGGCTCCGTCGCTCGGTGCAGCAGTCGGCAGGTGCTGCTTTGTGTCGCAGTGCAGAGACGACGCCCCCGCCACCTGCCTGCGGGCCTCCCAGCCCGGGTCTCTCCTGTTAGGGAATCTCTGTTTTTAATTTCTTTGGGTAAAAGGCAGACATGGTGTTCGCTGGGAGCTGTCCCTGTGTCTCCAGAGAGAGTCCCACGTGGGAAGCACATGTCCCACCTGCAGTGTGACTGCTGCTTACTCAGTGCGTCTCCCACTGGCGGGAGAGGGTCTGCTTCTACTCCCCCAGCCCTCCCGCCAAAAAAAATGCCAGACGTTGCTTAAAGGAGCCAGGCCTTCTTCTGCGAGTCCCCCACGGAGTTCGGTGAAGTGGGGCGTCATACGTGGGTCATGAGGGAGACGTGGACACGGAGCCCTCGGGGAAGGCCTCTTTGGCGGGGGCTGGACTGGGCGCGGGAGTTGGGCGGCGCGGCCGAGCCAGGGACACTGGCGGAGGCAGCACACGCGTGGGTCGTGGCGCTCGACCCCAGGACGCGTGTGGGTGTGACAGTCGACACCCTCGTCTGCTACGGAGCCACTTCCTTCCCCTCTCACTGCTCCGTCTACCCTTCCTTACCCCGTCTTTCTGTTTTTCTGTGTCTCATGACGTGTGAATGGGCGGTTTCCATCTACCGTGCGTGGCCCCCACAGCCTCCTGGATTCGGGCACAGACACCACAGCCCGTCACTGCCTGTCACCGGTCTAGCTCACACAGCAGACTACGTCTCGTTGGGATTCGTGACGATTCTGGAAAGAAACCTGTTTCATCACACGGACTTGTCCGCACGGCATGGGCGAAGCCTCATCAGTTTCAGGCTAAACTCTGAGGCGTCGCGTGTTTCATCCGGTTCGTGCTCGGGGTTCGGGTTTGTGGTCAGTCGTCGTCCGCTAGCAGCCTCTTGGCGCCCCGTCCGAGCTCCGTTATTGGGTGTCTGTAGCTGCCCACGGTGTCCAGCGTCCCGGCACTGTGCCCATTCGGAAGGCCCAGGTGTGGCCAGCGGCCGGGGGACAGCGGGCCTGGCCGGCCCCTGCACGCGCCTCCTTGTTACGCTGTCACTGAACCGCCAGGCTCACAGGCTTCCTGGGTCCCACGGCTCCCAGGAAAGCCTGCGTGCGCTTCCCTGCAGGTCACCCCCTGCGGTGGGTGCTGGCGTTGGCGGTGGACACCTGGCCGTGTGCGGGCGACGCTCCTGGCCAGTGTCTGCTGGCTTAGACCCCGCTCCGGCGCAAGTGATGAGCAGCACTTAAAATGTGTCCTGCGCAGGGGTGGCCAGAGCCAGCTGTGCTCACAGCCCTACGGCAAGGGGCGATGGGCTCCCTCTGCCCCTGGAGGAGTGCGTGTGGGCGCGTGCCCGGCAGGGGGCTGGCACAGCTGTTTCCCCGCTCATCCTGTGGCCATGATCGTCGGAAGCCCCCTGGCAGGGGGAGGCCGCCCCCTGACGGTCCGGTCCGGGGCGGGGCACAGAAGCGCCCAGAGCTCCGCTGCAGGGCGCACAGCGCGGCCAGCCGGGTCGCTACAGCCCCTTCACTGTCCGGTAGACGTGTCGGGTGATCTGGACTCCTGATGGCGTGTCGCGTCAAACCCCGCAGGACCCAGCCTGTCGTGTAGAAGGGGCTCCGCGTGCAGCGGGGGCGCACGCACCCTCTCCACAGCGTCTCCGGTGCTGCAGCGCTGTCCTCGGCCCAGAAGTTGCTGCCGTCAAAACGGAGGGAAGAACAAAACCCTCTCAAAGGCCCCGGACCCCCCTGCCCGGGTCTCCTCGCGCACGGGCTGTGGGGTGACGCTGCCGCCCCTGCCACGGCTGGGGCCTCCTGGGCTTGGAATCCGGTCGCAGCTTTAGTTTCCCTGGAAGCGTCTGCGCTTGCGGCCGGGTTTCCATCTCTTCCTGAGGCTTAGGTGTCAGGGAACGCTGGTCCCAGGCTGAGCCGCACGCTCTTGGCCTCTAATTGCTTCTGCAGGTGCTCGGCCTGCGTGAGACCTGGTCTTGATCTTAAACTGTTCTCCCGACTCCGAGTTAATCCAGGAAAGCAGTAAAAATAAGTAACGTGTATTGCATGCCTCTGATACATGTGTTTTCCATTAGCGGGTCATCTGCGCCCCAGGGTGTGTGTGCGTATGCGCGCGCACACACACACATCCGCACACACACCCCACACCCCCTTCAGTTTTTCTGAACTGGGCGGGGGGGGCATGGTTCCAAAAGGAGACAACTGTGGCACCTTGAAATCTGAATGCGGCGTGCGTGCGGGATGGGAGGCCTGCGAACACGTCACCGGGCTGTCTCTTCCATCGCCTCCTTTTTGGAAAAGAAAACACTTTGATAGGAAATTGGCTAATTACGGGCATCCAGATTTATTTCTTTGAAGATAAGGAAGTGATCGAATAGCCGTTGCAAAGTGGTGGGACTTGTGGAGTTGGAGGTGAGGTTCCGTGGCAGTGGCTTAGGGACCAGGTAGGGTTGGTTCGTGCCCAGCAGCTGCCAGCTTCCTGCTTGTCGCGCACGCTGGGGGAGAAGGGAATCGGCCCCAGCGGCTGTCAGAGGAGCCCGTTGGAGGACGTGTCATGGGACGTTCATCCTCAGGGAAGGCTGTTTGAAAAATCGGAACAGATGACCAGCCAGCAGAAGTGGAGGGGCAGTGTCTTCCCTCGGCTTTAAAACAGACTACCTGCTTATGACGCTTACCGGGTGCAGGTGATGAGATCTAACGGTCTTTAACTTTGGAGGGGGGGGTCGGAGACCCCACAGAGAATCTGGTGGAGCCCATCTCCAGAAAAACGCACACACATTTAAAGCTTTGCATGCAATTTTAGGGAGTTTATGGACCCTGACTAAGACACGCGGCTTAGAGGAGCTCCGTAAGTGTGTCCTGGCCTTGTAAGTGACAAGTTCCACAGCTTCGTTCTCCCAAACGTAATGGAATCTGAAGATCAAATGACAAACTTTGGATTTCCTTCCTCCTGATTTATAATAGTTGCTATGCACAACGTCTAAGTACAATAAAGATAATGGAAGGAATAGAAAGGATTCTATTTTTAAATTCAGTTGTTTTGACCTAGAGTAACCAAATGTTTAATTTTGAAACTCTGGTTGGCCCTATATCATCTTCATAAAAAGGCAGCAGAGAACGGAGCCTTGGCCAGCGGCCACTCTTCCCGGTCCCATAGCCAGCTCTGGAGTCCCAGATGAAGATGCAAACTGAGACGCCACGTTGACGACTGGCTCCCTTCCGAGTTCACACGTCTTCTGTGTTGCTAGGAATGTCCAGCTGGGCTTGAAAGATATTGTCTGTTTATAATTCTCTCATCCGTGTCAGGCCCAAGTTGCACTGACCACAGTTGGAAAATGAGCACCCAGAGTTGCAATCAGGAAGGAATTTGGCCCTGAAGTAACGCGCTCCATCCTCTGCGGGGAGGGAGAGGACGGTGGCACGTGCATTCCGCTTGCGGTGGTTGCCGTGTGGCTGTGTGGTGTCCCGTCCCCTCTGCAGACAGCCCCCGGCACTCCCTTCAGGCCCAGGTTGGGAACGACCTTGTCTTTTTGTCCCTGGGGTCCAGAACTCGGGAATTCTGAGGCGAAAGGTCAGCCTGACACAGGGGGAGGTGATCCAGCGCTCTGGGAAAGAGCATGTCGGCTGCCCGTGCCCGTCAGTCTCTGTGCTCTGTGCGTCCGAGGCAAGCCCTGTGACCGTCACGAAATTGGAGGCATCACTGAGGAGGAGCCCAGCAGTCCCGGCCCAGGCCGCCCCGCACTCATGTGACATTCTGGTCCTGCGACAAGTGCTGCTTCCCACTGCTGAGGGGTGGGCCGAGGGCTTACGAGTTCCACTGAGACCTCCCGTGGTTCCATCACTCCAGTCGTGACTCAGTGCATGGGAGTGAGTCTGTGGGACGTGACATCTGGGGACAGTCCGTGGCATTGACTGACGGCGTCCAGCTCCTACCGACCCAGTGAGGTGTGGTTTAGGAAGTAGAGTTGAGGTGAGGATGGGCCGTTCAGGCACCCCACCTGGTGAGGCTCTGCTCAGTGACGTAAGTCCCTGGTCCCCTGGAGGGTACTGAGTTCACGCCCGTAAAGCTGGCCCGGGCTGGCGCTCATGGCGGGGTGCACGCTCTCTTGACGTCACTCACCCCATGTGTTTCTCCGCAGAGAATGTGATCAACGGGCAGGATCACGAGGCGATGATGCAGATCGACTGCCAGGTGATGGACACCAGGATCCTGCACATCAAGAGCTCGTCGGTGCCGCCGTACCTGCGCGACCAGCAGAGGAATCAGACGGACACCGTCTTGGGCTCCCCTCCCGCGGCCGCGGCGGCAGCGCGCGTGGTCAGCACCATCCCCGAGTCCCTGCGGTAGTGCGGCCGGCGGGGCTGGCGAGCGCCGCGCTGGACCAGGGCGAGGGAGGCGCCCCCTCCGCCTTCCCGGTGGCGGCAGAGCTGCCTCACAGAGTTCAGGGACGGCAGAGGCGCTGCCCAGGAGGCCGCAGCACTGGACCCGCAGGGGGCGTGGGCCCCGCCTCCTGCCCTGTGGCCGCACTGGGCCCCGCTGCACTGGGCCCCGCCCCACCCGAAGTGCTGTCACCTGAGCTTTGTGCCCTGTCGTCTCCCGTCTCCCTCCGCCGCACGGCCTTGCTCTCCGCCCCGTAAAGAGACGTCTGTGCCGCGCCGTCGCTGCGGGCGGACCCCGATGAGCCCCACCTTCGCGCTGCGAGCCCAGGGCGGGCACTGGGCTTTCCGGGGAGCAGCCCGGAGCGCCCCGAGATACTCAGTGGTCTGGAGCTTCCGAAAGCGGGGAAGCCCCGCGTGGGGCCGGGGCCGCGGCTGCAGCCTCGAGACCATGAGGCAGCTGCGGGGTGCTCGGTGCGCGCGGGGACGCGGGGCGCCGCCTGTTCCAGGCCTCCGGACCCCGTCTGCCGAGAGCCCCCGCCCTCCGCACAGCTCCGCCAACACGCCGAAGCCGGGGACGCGGGGACACGGTTCCTTTGGACGGAGCAAAAGAGCTTTTTCTCGGGGGGGTGGGGGGGGGGGGCGGATTTTATCCCTGAGACTCCCGGCCAGGAGGCCGCGGACGCCTGCGGGGCACGTCTCCTAGGGCCGTCCTGTTGTTTCTCCAGCGGAAGGACAGTGACAAGCCTTTGTGCTGCCCCGGTCGCAAGGACCGCGCTGTGCTCACGCCCCGCCCTGAGCGCCGCTCCCCTCGGGTGCGCACCCTCAGGTTCCAGAGTGACGTCCTCCGTCCTGTGACCCTTCCGGCCCTCACGGACCCCATTCTGCAACCACTGCCCCTCGCCCTCCTGGGTGCACGGGACGTGCCTCCCTCCCCAGAGAGGAGGAGACCCCGGTCACCTGCTCCAGGGCCCCTTGGGCTGAGGCTCGTGGGCAGCGCGGAGGGATCACGGCCACTCTGACGCCGAGGCTGCGCTCAGGCGGGTCGCCCGCTGCGGAGGGTCCGGCTCCGCGCCCCCCCCCTCCATGAAGCCCCCGGGCTGAGAGGCTAACAGACGTCACCACTTAAGTCTAGCCGGCGCCCCTCGACCTGGCATCCTGGTCGACGCTCACATAAGAACCGTTTTCCCTGGGGCCAGTCTAACTTCTGACCGGTGCCACAGGACGGAGGCCACGCACAGAACCCGTCAGGATCCGGCGGTGTCCCCTGGTGTCTCGCCTGGGCCAGCCCTTGCCGTCTGTTATGTGCATTAGCCGAAAAGGAGGCTGTGGCTGTGGCTAATGGGTCTGTTATGTGCATTAGCCGAAAAGGAGGCTGTGGCTAATGGGCGGCAGCAACATACTGTCCCCAACCTGCTGATCTGCCCACTGTCCTGGTTACCCTGGGGACGCAGATGGTGTCACAGCGATCTCAGGTGGGACTGCCCTCCTGTCCTTTGCGGGCCCTGCGCCCGTTTAGCAGCTGTGGGACTGAGGATCTCCGCTCTGTGGGGCCAGCCCCCAGCACCCTCTCCGGTGAGAGCGCGGGCGTGGCTGAGGGGCAGGCAGCACCTGTGCGGGGTCTGGCACGAGCCTCCGGGAGCCCTAATTCCCTGCAGGGCTCCCGTCTTCATCTGTCCGGATTTGATCTCAGATGGGGGGCAGGGTTGTCCTCAGGTGGAGTTTTGGGGAACGGGAAAGGCGCCTGGCAAGTGCTAAGTGCCACGTCTGTGAGGGCCACTGAAGCTGCCACCCCTCCTGGAGCACAAGAGAGATTTTCCCTTTCGTGTGGTGAGTGCGGCACGAGGCCCTCGGGAACATGCAGGGTTCTGTGCCTGATTCATAAATTGAGCCGGCGTTTGGCTTAATTTTTTGGTAAGACTGCCTTGCAGAGATTGCAGCCAGGAATTGTGGGGAATATGTGTGCACATACAGATATATAATTTTTTTAATTTATTAAGTTCTTAAGTGGGGCTTCGCAGGCTGGTGAGGGACTCGGATGAGCTCGTGGAGGAGGCGGGCGCTCGGGCTTCTCGGCAGGCCTGCCTTGGGCACCAGGGCCGCCGTCTCAGACGGGGAGGCTGCTGGGAATGTCCTGGGCTGCCCGGTGGCAAGTGCCAAGGGTCCAGCTTGGGGGCAGTGCATGTCTCTGTGCTGACTGCTGAGCCAGATGTTGGGAGCCCTTCTCGGGGGTCAGCCCCATCAGTGTCGGACAAGGGTCCGTCTCGAAACACATGCATTGCTTGTCATGCTCGTAGTTTATAAATTTGCATCAGGTTTTTGGGTGGGGTTTGTGTTTTCGTGAGTGAAAAATCTCCCGCGAATGTAAATGCTCGGAGCATCTTCTCATCTATTTTTTAGTGACTGCAAGCTCCAGCACAAAGCTGGCATTTCTTTGCCTTTTCTTGTGAGAAGTAAACGTGGAGGTATTTGAAAGCAGCACTGTTGTATGAGTCATTTTTGGGTGTTCTGAATAAACGTTACTCAGAAACAGACAAGGAACTTGGGATTCAAACGGATTTTGCTCTCGTTTTTAAAGAGACACTGTTCTGATTAAACCTTCCTGACCCAAATCTTGCTCCTGGGCATATGCCCCCAGCAGTCACAGCAGTGACTCTGGTAAGATGCTGCTGCTGTGGCATCTGGAGTGATTAAAGCTGGGGGGCTCTCAGGCACTGTTTCTGATTCTTGCCATTTTATGAAACTCAGGCCATGAAACTCGACAGGAAAATATTTCCGGGAAGAGCTTGTCATTGCATGTGACTTTCTGGCACATAGAGAAGTTTCCAGGTAACCTCCATGTCCAGTACCCGTTAGAAGTAATCGCTGTTCCTGAGGGCTGGAGCCAGACCCCACGCCCCCCAGCGTGACCTCAGCGGAGTTTGCCCAGGGAGCCCTCCGCCCGCGGCTCGCTGACTGAGCGTGGGAGCTGGGCCACAGGTGAGACCCTGCATCCTCAGCCATCCACCTGCGCTCGCCTCGTTCCGAATGCCACAGTTGGTGGGCCCCTCGTTCTTGAGTCATTTGAATTGGCAGAAATTAGGACCTTTGCTGCTAATGTGCCTACTGATTATAACTTTAGCCTTAAAAACCGGAAAAAGGCCTAAAAGAAAGGATGGGTAAGAAGTTCTCGTTCTCACCCCCGATAATACCTGGGGGTGCAGTTCCCGTCGCTCCTCCGCCCCCTGGGGTCGGGTTGGTGTCCATGGCAGGGGAACGGGGGCTGAACAGCCGAGGGGGGAAGTGCGGCCAGCGACTTGGCTTGGGGGCGGGGCAGAGCCTGCAGCAGGGCCGTGAGCAGGCTGCCGGGGTCAGGAGGGCAGACGCTCCCCATCCCAAATCTTCGGTAAAAGCATTGTCTCGGCTGTTCGGGCGCGTGGTCCACTAACAAAGGGAAAGGCAAGATGTGAGCTGAAGCGTCAGTGACGACACAGCTAAAGGGGACTGTAACCCCCTCGCCCCCACCCCAGCTACCAGAACTTATGGCATTGCCCCTGGCTACAGTTCTCCAAGGACAACCACAGCTGACGTTGGATGACGACAGGGTGCCGTAAACAGGGCCCTTCCTGCCCGTGCCCTCCGTTGCTGACACAGGCCACGTCCAGTGTTTGCTGACCACAGGAACCTACAGCACGCTCTGCTCCGCGACATCTGTTCAGTGGAACCTTACACGGGCCTAGAAGCCACCTTGGTCAGGTCAAGGTAGCAGCCGTTGCTATCAGCTGATGCCATGCTGAGCGTGTGCACACTGGCTCATGGAGCGTCATAGCGGAGGACACGGGCACTGGCCCAGCTGAGATTTGGCTTTCAGAGCCACTTCCCACTGCGTCACACGGCCACCGTCCTTTAAAGCCATAAAGGAAGCCACAGAACACCAGTGGGGTGGAGGAAAGCAAGCACATGTCACGGGCAAGCCGGGTGGCGAATCGAGCTCAGGAAAGGGAGACGAGCTGAGAGGCAGCTGCACAGCGCTGGGCGTTCTGGGACCAGCTCGTTCCCTCAGGGGGCGTGTGCAGCCCGCAGTGGGCTGCTGCCCAGTTCTCCTAAACGTGAACCCCCATCTTGGATGAGGTACCCAGTGGGGTGCAGACACGCTGGCCCCCGTCTGTTCAAGTCCAAGAGCCCAAGTGTGGCGCCAACCCCATCCCCAGGGCGTATCCACTGCCTGCCCCTTCGGTCACAAGTGCCGCTGTCCAGAGAGAGCGTGCCCTGCAGGATTAGCGTCTGCCGGACGAGGCTCCGGTGAGAGATGCTGGAATAAGGGATCGCTAAGCTCCAGCCCCGGAGTCAGAATGCTTTGTGCAGAAGCGGAGGACGCATCTTTAAAGTAGATGCTGCACGTCCCGTGAAGAGACGGGTCATGGGAGATGAACCACCTGCAGCACTGCCACTCCCGTGGACTGCCCGCGTCGACGGGGACCTTGCGAAGCGCACCGGGAAAGGCTGGCCAGTTGTTGACAGGCACAGCCTGACTTCGGCAGACGTCAGCTGCTTACAGAGGAAGCACGAGAGCCTCCAAAGCCATCCCCGAGGCTCGTTTTTCAGGCGTCCTGCATGACTTCCGAAGCCCAGGGTTGGGGAACTCACCCCGAGGAACTTGGGTTCTTGGCCGCATTTCCGCAAAGATGGTGGCCTGGGATCATGCCGAGTGTTGGACATCTATCTACCGCTGACCTGTGGGAAACTTGGCAGATGAACCAGACACGCTCTTGTCCTCAAAGACGCGTGAATGATGTCTGCTCCACGGGTCTGTGTCCCTGCCCTTCTGTCCCCACAGAGGAGTATGACAGTTGCAGGAGAGAGCAAGCTTCCCGGTCAGCCCGAGAGAGAGATTTAGTCGGACACCAGCTGCTCTCGGGGGAGTGTGGGGATGGAAGATCCATTGGCCAGGGTCTTCGTCGTGGCCGCAGAGCTCGCCCACTCACTCGGAGACGATGATGCATTTCATCACATTGTTTCTGGTTTCCTGGAGACGCTGGAACTCTGAGCGGCTTATTCACATCACACCGACACATTGTCCCCTCCAGCCTGGCGGCTTCAAGGAAGACAAGTTCCACACCCCCGCAGCCCCAGCCACTGTTTCCATCAAATGCTCAGCCAGGAGGAACTGGAAGCTCATCGTAATTTCGCCAGTGTGAGCAGGGAAGATGCTGAAACACTCACACTCTGCTTTCCGGCAGCTCTGTGGTCGCCACTCGCGTGAACGCAGGTGGCGGCCCAATCCGGGACCCTTGTACCTCGCCGAGATTCCTCACTGGAACAAGCAGGGCCTGGACGCCCGAGGAGGGGGAGCCTTGTGGGAAGCTGGGTTCCATGCTGATCTCACAGTGGCTCCTGTCCTTTGTCCACCGTCACTGCTGCAACTGCCACTTCGTACCTGTCACCTGTGCGGGACAGGAAGTGCCACAGGGCAGGCGTTTGTCAGTGTCTAACTTGTTTTATCCCCAGGAGGGATTTGAGCTTGGGATGTGGTACTTTGGGCATTTTAGGCTAAATCAGTATTTTTGTCGAGTTGCATTCTTGAGCATTTAGAAAGCTCCAGGTAGACGTCTCCTAGGCACGTGACAGATGGCATCTGTCCTCGTGTGCGTGTGGCAGCTACGTCACCCTATGCTGACAGTTGGGGACGCGCCGTGCCGGTGCTGAGGCAGGACGGGAGGGCCACGGATCCGCCGCCCCACCGCAGAGAGGCGGTGCTGGCTCCCCTCCCCGCTGGTGGCTGCCTGGTGCCTGTTCCTGACCACAGCCTGTGGCCAGTGGGTTGGGCGGCGGGCCTGCAGGTGTGGCCCCCTTTCTGTAGCCACAGCAGTGCAGGGAACTTGCTCCAGATGCGAATTCTGTGGCCCTGACCCAGGCCCCCGAGTCCGCCTGTGGTGGGCCCGGATCAGTGTTGTGACGAGCTCCCTCAGGGGCGGACAGGAGCTCGAGAGCCGCATGTCCCCCCCAGTGGGGAGGCCGAGGGGTGTCAGACCAGAGACAGGCCTGCCCGCGGCTGCCAGCGCCCGGCTCAGGGCCACCAGGTTACCTCGTTGTCACTCCCTTTCTCGGGGTTCGTGCAGTCCCCTCGCCTGGCCGCCTGCTGCCTGGGTGGTCATACCCCGGCTGACAACAGGAGCCAGGCCGTGCCCTGAGTCAGAGGTGAGCGCCCGCCGCCGGGGCCGTGGCCAGGGAGGAGTGGGGACCGTCCTGGCTGCCCACAGTCTGCAGTTCTCTCCGGTCTCAGCCGACAGGTCCCACCGGCCCAGCACCCTCTGCTGTGGGGCCTCCCTGGAGCAGGACTTCCGAGGCGAGGCCGGGGAGCCCCCATGCCCTGAGGGGCCGAGGACGAGCCCTGCCACCTAAGCTCTGCAGACAGGTCTGCCGGGCTCCAGTCCACTTCAGTGTGGCCCTGTGCCCGTGGTCCCCACACTCGGCTACACACGGGAATCCCCCAGGGTCTCTAAAAAGTCCGTGCCCCTGCCCCCGCTCCGAGGTCAGTGGTCTAGGGGGTGGCGGGCCCTGGGAGGCTCGCACTGCCCAGGTGGCGCCAGGGGGCCGGGAGCTCCGCCTTCGGAGGCCGAGGCCTCGCCCGCGTTCTGGCGTTTGCCGAGCAGCACGGTTCTGGAGACGACGCAAGGTTCTGGGGCCGGGAAAGTTGGGTTTGGGCATCAGAGTCAGGACTCAGCGAAGGCCTGGAAGGAAGGAGCGGGGCGGGGGTGGGGCGGGAGGCCGGACGCCCGAGGCGGTGACGTCAGGCATTCCTCTGCGATGCTGGAGCTGAGAAATGCTTGACAACAGCCCCGGCCGTGAAATGGAACTTTCTGCGAAATGGCGTGTTCTTGGAAGGGCGGCGGGAGGGGGGACAGGGAACACGGCCAGCGGCTCCCGGCCTCGAGATGGGGGACGTGCACTCACGAAAAGGGGTGCAGAGGAGAGGGGGCTGAGTTGGCAGAGGAAGGGGTGGAAGGGGCCAGGAGGGACAGCAGCGGGGCCAGCCCAGCGGTGGGGCGCGGGCCAGCGGCGTCTCCCGGGAGGGCTGCGCGGACCATTCTCGCTGCGGCCAGTCGGGTCCCCTCCTCTTGGAGGCCTTGGGGGAGAGGGCAGTGCCCTGAGACCGTTCTAACTCAGCCTGGCACCAGCCCTGATTCCTAGCTGTCCCCTGCGGCCTCCTCCAGGGACAGCAGCCAGACACTGTCACAGGAGAACCTGGCAGACCAAACTGAGGGCTGCCACAGGGCTCCTCACCTGGGGGGGGGCGGATTCTCCACCTTCTTGGTGCAGAATTGGGGGCCCCCTGACTGGGTGCGACTGACCCAGTGCTCAGGACGGGCCATCTGCAGTGGATGAGCTGCGTCACACGGTGTGGCTCTGGGAGCTCAGCTGTCCTGACAGGTGGCAGGTGGCAGGTGGGTCTTCACCAGGAAGACAGCATAGGACAGCGGGGGTCACGGGGCACGAAGCACTTCCATTCTGGGGTCAGTGCTCATCCTGGGCCCCTGGGGACTCAGCCGAGCCCAGTACTTCCCATGTACCAGCCAGCTCTGCCCCGGGCAGCTTGGCCCTCAGCGCCTGGCCCGACGCCTCTCGCAGGCCCCGCCGCCGTGGGTGCTCCCGCTGCCACTGGTGTCCCAGCCCTGCAGCGGGAGCCCCCCGGGGCCCCTGGAGTGTAAGCCCATGGTTTTGTGCAGGAGTGCGGGCCAGGGCCGGCTCTGTCGCCCGTCCGCCTTGAGCCCTGGCCTGGCCTCACGGAGGGACGCACCCAGACGGGCGCCTCAGTGGACGGTGGCCGGCCGGGGGCTAGGGCCACCACTGGCCTGCGGTTTCTGCGGGGGGGTGGAGTAGGGGTCAGGCAGGGATGGTCCGTCCTGCGGGAGTGAGTGCTGCGCCCCACGGTGTCCCCGTGACAGCCCTACACCTGCTCACGAGCGCAAAGGCCACTGTGAGACAGAGCGAGCATGGCCCAGGTCTGTGACGGCAGGAGACATGGTCACAGGCAGGAGTCCGCTGAGTCCGCCGGGAAGGGCATCAGCCCTCTGTGTGACCAGAGCTGAGCCGTGGTGGCAGCCCAAAGGCCCGCGCATCAGTCTGCCTTCTCTGAGACGGGCCCGGCTCTGACGGAACACGGCGAAGTCCAGCGACGGCCGGGCTGCGGAGGAGAAGGCGCCGGTGCGAGCCACTCAGCACCCAGGTGGGTGTGCGCTCGGACGGCGGGGGCCAGCCAGGGGGGCCTTCCTGCAGGAGGGGAGGGTTCAGTCAGGTAGTGACAGGGCGGCAGGGGGCAGGGGGCGTTGGACACTGCCAGGACATTTCAGGGCAGGAGGATGTACTCGGGCCGTCTGGCCTGGCCCGCTGGAGGCCACGGTACCCAGGGCTGTGTCGCCGGCTGGCAGGCAGCCTGCATCTTGGCGCACATCTTCAATACCAGGGTTGGTTTTGAACGACCCCAGATGGTTCCTCGAACTTGTATAGCTCACCTCGGGAGAGCCACGCTCTGAGGAGTTCCCTTGGAGGACAGACACACTGGCGTCATTACGGGCAGCCAGGACACACTTTGCATGCTCAGCATCCCTGGGCACAGGGTCGACAGTTCCTGGATGTCCTCTCCCGGTTGCTGGAAGGATGGTGACATCACACAGGGTACGTGCGGGTGGCCCGTGGTGTCACAGCTGTCTTCTGTGAGCCAGCCTGCGTGGCCTCTGCTGTCCACCCTGAAACCCCGTGGGCCCAAGTGGGACGGGTGGCCCGTCAGGGAGCGGGAGGGTGGGGCTGGGTTCTCCTGAGGGCAGCAGGCCGACCTCCCGGCCGTGGCTGCCGCCTGGCCCCTCCAAACCCCACTCGGCCCTGGGACTCCTGCTGCCCTTGGCCGCACTTGAACTCCCAAACACTGCCAGGCGGCCCCGGCCAGGCGTCTCCAGCAAGCTCAGCTGAGGTCACATGGAAAATAACCCGGGACCAGGCCCCGCCCCGGCCGACTCCCTGTGCCTCCCCCACGCTCACACACGCACGTGCACACACACACATGCACACTGGTGTCCTCCCGCAGGTCAGCTGCACTACTTTACAGCTAGGAGTGCTGTGCAGGGGAGTCGGTCCCAGCTGTTTGCGTGTAGGACTCTGGAAAGGCTTTAGGACAGAACTGAGAAGACGCCGTGCCACGGTGTCAGGCCACAGTGGCCTCGCACGGCAGCTGTTCCGACGGGGAAGCGCGGGGAGCAGCTGAACTGCCTGCCACAGCACAGCCAGTCCCGCCGTCGCAGACGGTCTGGTCTGTCTGCTCCTCGCTGCTCTGCCTTGTTCCATGAGCAGAGCAAAAACAAGCCATGGCTTACACCACGATGGCAAATCACAGAGAAGGGAAGAGGCACGTCGAGAACATACACTAGATCCAGGGGACAGGCAGACACGGACGCCGTCACAGTCCGCATGCCTGCTGCGCGTAAGGCACGGTTTTTACACCGGCAGCTGGTGTAACAAGCTGCAGAGTCACGTACAAACTGGACTTTGGGAAACCGAGTCCTGCAAATCTGTTAGTGGAGGAGCGTGGGTGGGCAGCTCAGGTCCGCGCAGGACGCGCTGAACAGCAGCTGCTCCCTAAGTGGGTGGGGCAGAGGGCACAGCGTGGCCACTGACTGCGCTCGTCCTCTCATGTGGTCCCCGGGTTCTGCTGCCCTCCCCCACCTCAGGCATCATTTCCTGCGCCCTGTCTGGTGTGATGTGGAGGAAAGGGTTCGGCCTGCTCAGGAGGGCGGCCCCTCATGAAGGGGCCGCGGGAGGGACAGCTGGGCTGAGTGCCAATGTCCAGGGTGAGGAGAGAGACTGATCACCGGTCAAGGGCTGGACTGCTGGCTTTGTGGGCGGTGCAGGACCTCACTCAGCTGTCTGCTTCAACGGCACCGAGCACCAGGCCACACCAAGGAGGCGAGGCGCGAACAGATCGCCACGTCTCGGGTAAAATGACCAAAAGAAAGCGCAGCAGAACAAGGGGTGACCGGGAGCGACGGGGAGCGAGCTGGGAGCAGAACAAGGGGTGACCCGGAGAGACGGGGAGCAAGCTGGGGCCAGCGGCCCCCGGCCCCCAAGCCGCGTCCCTGGCCAGACAGATGAGTGCTACACAAAAGCACATTCGCGGGTGATTTTAAATTTCTTCTTTATTAAAAAAAAACATTTTTTCTGGGTTTTTAAAACTTTTCCCGTACATGACTTTTCCCCCCGCCCCGCAGCACCGCCTTCTCGCCTCCTTCCGGCTGCTCCCGAGGCCTCTACCTGCTGGACGCGCACAGACGCATCTCAGCGCGAGGCCCGCGAGCTGGCGGGCAGAGGGCTGGGGGGAGGCGGTCCCCGGTCCAAACGGGAGGTTCCTCTGCACGAAAACATACACTGTGAAGGATGAGACCAGCACATACACGTATGGATTGATCTACAACCCATATAAAAAAAAAAATAGACCCAAATTGTCATCTTACATTGTACAAAATAATAT